TAATTCCATCTTTGGGTACCACAAATTAACTCACAATTTCTCTAATCTTTCCACCACTGATCAGGACTTTCATAATTTTTCTTGATAGATCCCATAGTTTTGAAAAATTTTTCAACATCACTCTATTTGTTATTATAGCAATTTCTCATGTTTAATTTATCAAACATGCATCTCTGCCAAAGCTTCTGTTTAAATGAGGTAACTACTGTTATCACCCTTGATATAATTCTAGCTATGTTTACAGAAGTTTGATGTTTTAACTAGCTACCAGTTTTAACTAGCTACATATTATTTATAAATTACTTGAAATACTGAAAATAGTGAACCCCATTGCTACTTTCTCAGACCTGTAAAAGTGTAGTATTCCAATATACTGAATATGCTCCTGATTTATCAGGAGAAAAGGGTTGTATTTCTGGGATATATACCAGGCAAAGACCACACAGATACAGGTAAATCTTAGCCAAATTTGATTAAGGACTTAATAATGAAAACTTCTGTAGGACACAACATAAAAAAACAAAAAGGTAAGAGGTTAAATAGCAGACATTTTACATGTAGACAAGTCCTCCGGGAAAGAAGAGTTTCCATTCTCTGGCTTGATTCAGCTGTATGAACTCCAAGCTTCTTGCAAAGAATTACAAAGCCAGCTGAATCACCACATCTTTACACCAAATGAAATATTATTTTCCAGTTTTTACTGAATATTTACCAAATTTTACTGGGAAAAAAGTTTAAATATATTTTAAATTAGATAATTTTCAGAAATTAGGATAAGGAGCATACATCTGCTTTAAAAAAACACACACAGGTACATACACACATAATATAAATATGCTATCACTGAACACATTTAGAAATTATAAAATAATGCTATGGAATCCATAATAATCTCATTGGGGAAGGTACAGCATTATGTTTAATGGCAAAAAGGTTAGGAACTATTGGGCTATTCATGACTGAAAGTCTGAATATATGAAATGAATTTTTAACTAAAGTGAGTAGTTTTGACTGTATACTGAAACATGACTTGAACATTTCGATTAGCTAGAAGAATATTCCATAGTTCCCAACATTTTCATCAACAAGACTTCCTTAGCATAGATTCCTTAGAAAATAGAGCCTGAGACAAAAAGGTTATATTGAGGGAGTATATACTATATTAAAGGAGTATAAACCAAGGAAACAAGAGTGAATGAAAGAGGAGTAAGGCAAAAAAAGAGGAGAAGCAAATATAAGGAAGGGAATTACAGAGCTGGCAGAGGTGATTGCTTAATTCTACTGAATGTCTTCAGAGAAACCGTACATTTCTGAACTGTGGAAGGGGGAATTACAAGATGATATTACTGCAGTTCCCTTCTCACATTGGTATGTTAGCCCTCATAGGGTACTATTTCTCCGACTCTTACTATTGCATGAATCTAGTAGCCCTACTGCATCTCATGTCTCCATGGCAACCAGGAAGTCTAGAGATAGATGAGAGAGGCTATATGGCAGTACATAAGACAATGGTTGACTTCTGCCCATGATTATCACAAAGGACCAGAAATAGCCATTATAGCCAACCCTTCAGTCTGGAGCAGGATGTTAATAACACGGACCCAGCTCCAACCCATGGGAATAGTCCACACCACTGCTAGAGTCAGTGTAGCCAGACAACAGGCAGGTGAGTACATTTAGAGTGGCAAATCCAGTTCAACTCTTGTACCACATAGATCAATCATTAGTACTCTTTTTTGGCATCTAGTCTCACCTGGAAGCATGATACTGTGATTCTCAATTCTTTTCTGAGAGGGGAGATCCAAGTCCAGTTCTTCAAGGAGATGACCAGTTGCAGTCTCCCAAAAAGACTTGGAAAGGATTAGTAAATGCAGATTAAGTCCCTACTGCTCCTGCGCGTCCTGGAGTCCATACTGTATGCTCATCATCTCCCTCTTTCACCCATTTCAGAACAAAGAATATCAAAATAGATTTCAGAATAAACAGTGATGACCTATCAAGGAAGGTCATTTCATAATGTAAACGGGTCATTTCATCAAGAGGAAATAATCCTAAATGTTTATGCACCGAATAACAAAGCTTCAAAATGGCAAAAATCCACAGAGATTTTAACTTTTATCTCTCAGTGGTTGAAAGAACAAGTAGGAAATCAATTAGCATGTAAAAGACCTAAACAATTCCATTAATCAACTGGACCTAATTATTTTTTATAGAACAGTCCACCTATCAGTAGCATAGTTCACATTCTTTTTAGGTATACATAGAAGATGCACCAGGAGACCATATTCTGATTCATAAAACAAGTCTCAGTAAAGCTAAATGGACTAAACCATTACAAACTGTGTTCTCTGACCACACTGTGTTTAAACTAGAAACCAATAATAGAAAAATATCAGGAAATTTCACAAATGCTTAGAAATTAAACACATTTCTAAATAACATGGGTCAAAAAAATCACAGTGGAAATTTAAAAATATTTTTAATTGAATGGTAACGAAAACAAAACTTCAAAATTTTTAGAATGCAGCTAAAGAAGTGCTTAGAAGAAAATTTATAGCATTAAGATGCTTATTTTAGAAAAGGAAGTTATTTAATTAGTGAACTAAACTTCTGCTTAAACAATATGAAAAAGAAATTCAAATCAAAGTAAACAAAGTAGGAAATAATAAAGAGCAGAAATCAATGAAACAGGAACGGAGAAAATCAGTGAAACTGAACGCTGGTTCTTTGAGAAAAGCATATTGATAAACCTCTAGTCATACTAACCAGGAAAAAAAGAAGATACAAATTACCAATATCAGGAATGAAGAGGGACACCACTACAGACCCCACAAACATTAAAAGGATAAGGGAATGTCATGAACAGCTTTATGCCAATAAATTTGACAAATTCCTGGAAATAATATATGACCAAAGGTCATTTGAGAAGAAAAAGATAACCTGAATAGTTTTATAGCTGTTAAATATAAATTGAATTTGGCATTTAAAACTTTCCCACAAGGAAAACTTAGTCCAGATGCCTTGACAGGTAAATTCTACCAAACATTTAAGGAAGACATAATACCATTTCTACACAAACTGCTCCAGGAAGTTGAAGTGACAAGAACACTTTATGAGGCCAACAATATTTTAAGACCAAACTAGACAAAGACATTATTTAAAAAGTAAACTACAGACCAATGTCTCTCATGAACATAGACATAAAAGTCCTTAACAAAATTCTAACATTGAATCCAGCAATATATAAAAAAGATAACAGGGACAATATGTAAAAAGGATGTGTCAGGGCTCCTGGGTGGCTCAGTCAGTTGAGCGTCAACTCTTGATTTCAACTCAGGTCATGATATCAGTGTCCTAGGATCAAGCCCCATGTTGGGCTCCATGCTCAGCAGGGATTCTGCTTGAGGAGTCTCCCTCTCTCTCTGCCCTTCCCCCCTGTACACACACACACTCTCGCTCTCTCAAATCTTTTAAAAAGAGGGGGGGATGTGTCACGAGTAGGTAGGGGTAGGGAGCATTGTCATCTTTGAGAAGCCTAATGGTGACTGCCCTCCCCGATGGAATTGACAAGAAGTTGTTGCCTTGGAACTGGACTCCCTTAGTATCAGTGAGGATACAGAGACCAGTTGACAACACTTAATTCTCAGATGCAAGGAGGACTTATTACTGTAAAGAGCAGCAAAGCTGGAAGGCAACCAGGGTGTCTTCCTTTGTAACTCATATTTTTCCCTGTTACTACAAAGTCCAGAATTCTGTTTACATTTCCAAAGAGAAAACCTCACTAAAAGGGATTGTGGAAATTACCTAATAAACTTAGGTCTCTTCTTTTAACAACAGGTACATTGAAGATGTAAGAAGAAAATATGAACTAACATATTAAAAACTTTATTCTTATAATTATTGCTAAGATTTTTATAATCTTTATTTTAATGTTTTTATTCCTTACATTCCTAGAGTTGATGAAAATTTTTGTTTTTAAGTCCTGTTAATAATTAGTGGTAAGACTAGAAAAATTCTAGAAGCCCTTTCAGGTTTTGCTTGATTTCATTCAGGGACATCTAGGGTTAGAGCTACAGGGTAGCTGTACAAGGAGGCCCTATATTTGGACAGATTATTTCTGCAATATATCCTATATATCTACTTAAGGGACCATTTGTTTTTTCTAATTCTTAATTACATATAAGGGGTCAGGAAATAAATTTAAATGAGGGAAAATATGGGATAAAAAGAGTGTAAAGATCTTTTTGAGATTTTGGGGCTCTTCAGCAATCCATGAAAATTATATAAATTCCCTTTTTGACAAAATTCTGAAATTTTTAGCATTGATAGGCTCTAGTTGTAGATCTTTTAGCAGTGATGTATGAATGTGTTCAGTTCCATTTAAATAGAGTTGTTGGGGCGCCTGGGTGGCTCAGTTGGTTAAGCGACTGCCTTCGGCTCAGGTCATGATCCTGGAGTCCCGGGATCGAGTCCCACATCGGGCTCCCTGCTCAGCGGGGAGTCTGCTTCTCCCTCTGACCCTCTTCCCTCTCATGCTATCTCTCATTCTCTCTCTCTCAAATAAATAAATAAAATCTTTAAAAAAAAAATTTATAAAAAAAAAATAAATAAATAGAGTTGTTAAATATATAAGAGAAGTGAGAGAAAATATGTAAGATATATTGTGCTTTCAGTTATTTAAACTTCATGGTGGAGATGAAATGATCAGTAACTTTTTTAAAAATAGTATCGCTACTACTCTTATTAGCTAGTCATGAATTTGGATAGTAGTAAACAGCTTAATCTCTCGGTTTGTGGGGTTTTGTTTTGTTTGTGTGTGTGGGGGGTTTATTTTATTTTATTTTATTTTATTTTATTTTATTATGTTATGTTAATCACCATACATTACATCATTAGTTTTTCATATAGTGTTCCATGATTCATTGTTTGCTTATAGTACCCAGTACTCCATTCAGTACGTGCCCCCTTTAATTTTTAACTTGTTTTACTCTCTTTTTCAGCTACGTTGACAAGCTATTCTGAAAATGTAGAACGCACAAAATATGTTGGGGAAAGCAGTAAAGAATTAGGATCTGGAGGAAACCTAAAACCTTGGCAGTCTCAAAAATCCAGCATGGATTCCTGTTTGTATCGAGTAGATGAAAACATGACAGCTTCCACCTATAGTCTGAATAAGATCCCAGAAAGGAATTTGGAAACAGTTTTATCGCAATCAGTACAGTCTATTCCTCTATATCTTATGCCACGGCCAAATTCAGTAGCAGGTAAGATCTTTCTAAAAATTGACCATTTTTCTGATGTATATACTGAAATGAAAGTAAATTCTGCTTTAATAGAATTTTCCATTCATCTTCTTTGACTAAGCTGTTCTTTTGTGTTTGGATAATATGCATGTGTATATCTTTTTGAACCTGGGGAAAGGCTCATATTCAAGTGGTTGTTTAGTTCTGCTCCCAAAATGTGTAACAGCATACATAAAATGAGAAGTAAAACCTATAAGGTATATTATTGAATTTCTAAATGTATTTTTTTCACATCCAGTGTCTTTGAAAGGATTTCAATTTGAGGTTTTGAAAAATGTTAGTTTTAAAAAACATCATTAAATTGATGTGTATTTCAGTAGAAGTTGTATTATCAGAAATCATTGTCCATAGTTTGAGGGAGTGGCAGGCAGGCAAGAATTCAACTTCCTAGTCCAAGAGCTCAATATTTTCACAATACCCTGGCCATCCTATCATAGAAGAATCACCAGATACCTACATTGCTAAAGAATAACTCAAACACTCCTAGCAATTGCAGTCATAAAGGGAGTATGGAGTCATTATCCTTTAGCAGCTGTTCAGAATTGATGTCAAAGGATATTGTTTACATAGCTAAGTTGCTACTTAATAATTCAGACCAGGAGCTTTTGCAGAATAGTCGGCATTTTGGCATTTTCAAAATGCAACATCATCTAGACTTTGTACCTACTATGATATCATAGTTATGTTTGTCTTTCTTATTTGCCTGATGAATGCCTGAAAGGTTTATCTTGCTGACACAGGGTAATAAAATACTTATTGTAGTTAGGAGCTCTTATTTCCCAGGTGTAATGATTTATTTTATAAAGATGATAGTGTGATGCTTCTTGCCTTTTTGTACCTTTTCTAAAACATTACTCTTTGTTCCATCCTCTGGGAGACCATCAGCATCAGTCATCACATGCGATTATGTGGTGATGGCTCATCTGGAAGGTCAGTAACTGTAGGCTATTTTAGTATTAATTTTTCAAGATTATTCACTTTAAATAGTGACAGAAACTTTTCTCTCATAGGTTCTTTGGAATATGTTGATCCCCACTAATGATGTCATATTAGAATCCTAGAATGCTCTAACTTAGAAACCGTTAAGCAAATTCAGTCTTTCCAGAGGAGAAACATTTAAATCCTTGCCTGCATAAAATTGAGGAAATATAGCTACCAGCCTTAATGGTACATCCCACTTTACTTCTTAACTAAGCTGCAGTGATTTCTAAGAAAATTCTGTCTCTAGGGGCACCTGGGTGGCTCAGTTGTTAAGCGTCTGCCTTCAGCTCAGGTCATGATCCCAGGGTCCTGGGATCGAGCCCCACATCAGGCTCCCTGCTCGGCAGGAAGCCTGCTTCTCCCTCTCCCCCCTGCTTGTGTTCCCTCTCTCACTGTGTCTCTCTCTGTCAAATAAATAAATAAAATCTTAAAAAAAAATTCTGTCTCTATTATTGTAGAAGGACACTGAGCACTTAGTAGGAGTCAGAAGTATAAGCTTCTCTTGTCCTCTTTTTAGTTTACTGGAGAAATTATAAAGCACTTTGCCCTTCTTGAGCATAAATATCTGTGATTCATTATTTTACCTTATGCAGATACTAACCTTAGGTTGTACAAAGAGTTGTCCAGGACTAATTGGCCAAATAATATCCTTCCCTCACTTTCTGTAAAGTTTTCTAACACTATGACTTTCTAGAAATTAGCACAAGGCAACTGTCAGAATTATCAATGAGTTACCAGTTACTTCTCTAATACATATAGAAGAAACTGACTGTATAGCTCTATCACAAAGAATAGAACCCAGCTTTCTATACCAGGTATTTTAATCACCAGGTAAAAAATGCCAGTTGAAATGTTTTTTAAAAAACTTAACAAAGGAAGCAACATTTTATCAGGTGAAGAGTACCTTCTTTCTTTTACATGGATTGTAAGACTTGATTTATTTAGAATTTTATCTTGTAAGAGCTAATATTCTAGTTACTTAATAAAATCTTCTAAATTGGTCAACCTTCAGGGAATTGTCATCCAGTCTGAATTTTGGGGGCTTCTAAACTACTTCTCATGGTATATTTTTTGCTAACTGCCATTTAGCAACTCTACCCCTCGTAGGCATCAATATATTTGTGGTTACACTTAGACTTCAGTAAGGTTTTGCATATTCTTTGGGACACTGACTTCAGCAAATATTAAAATAAGAATTTTACAGAGAATTACAGGATGGAATTCTAATTGACATCCATTGCTGTTTTTGTAAAATTGTCAGCTACAATGTGATGACTGCTATAATACAGTAATTTATAAAGTACCATAGAAACACAGAGGAGGGAAGCATCTGAGCGCAAAGGAAGAGGGTAGGGGCGCCTGGGTGGCTCAGTCAGTCAAGCATCTGCCTTCTGCTCAGGTCATGATCGCAGGGTCCTTGGATCAAGCCCTACATCAGGCTCCCTGCTCATCAGGGAGTCTGCTTCTCCCTCTCTCTCTGCCCTTCCCCCTAGCTCATGCTCTCTTTCTCTCTCAAATTAATTAATTAATTAATCTTTTAAGAGGGGAGGGTAGAGAGGAATAGAAGACATCACAGAGAGGGATGAGTGAGAAGTCACAAGGAGGACAGAAAAAAGAGGAAGGAGGCACCAAGAAGTTAAGGAACTTGGCAGATCATTGACATTTTAGCATGACCAGCACCTGGGGTACAATGAAGGAATAGTAGAAAATGATGTTGCAGGTGATAGCAAGGACCTTATGTGCTCTGATGATAAGTATTGGGTTTATTTTGTTGTTAGTATAAACAGGAGCTGTATAATCAAATTTGCAGTTTAGAAAAATGGATATAAACCCATCCCTGTAGGATGGACTGAAGGAGGAGAGCCTGGAGTTAGAGAAAATAGTTCATCAAAAGCTTCTGGTATTATGCACAATTATAGGGAGTGAATCACCAGGTATCAGTAGAATTGAGAAAATGGCTTGGGAGATTTTCTTTTTTGCCTTAAAAAATAGCATTTATTAGATTTTTTTTTAAATACAGAGAAATACAAAGAAGAAAACAAAACAAAAATGAGACATAATTTCCTTGCCCAGTGGTTCCTGCTGACACATTCTAGAAATTAAAGATTCATATATGTTACATAATAAATATATATAAATCAAATAAAAATTCAAATTCAAACAAAAAATACAAAAGAAAGAGCCACTCCCCTCTCCATCTAGTACCCCTCTCCAAAGGTTAATATTACTTACGAGTCTTTAAAATATATATATTAGGGGTGCCTGAGTGGCTCAGTTGGTTGAGTGTCTGCCTTCGGCTTGGGTCACGATCTCAGGGTCCTGGGATTGAGCCCCACATCGGGCTCCCTGCTCAGCGGAGAGTCTGCTTCTCCCTCTCCTTCCCGCTCAAGCTCTCTCTCACTATCTCTGTTGCTATCTCTCTTTCAAATAAATAAAATATTTAAATATATATATATAATACATATAATATTGAGATTCTATATATAATACATAATATATACCTAAATATGATTATAATATATGTAAGAGACATGTGAGGTCAAAAAATCAGTTGGATTTATAGAGGGGAAATGAACGTATATGTTCTTACAAAGATGTACAGCTTTATTTGTTAATAGCCAAAAATTGTGACCATCCCAAATGGCCACCAACAGTTGGATGGATAAAGAAATTAGAGCATATCCTACAATGGGCACTACCTAGCAGTAAAAAGAAATGAACTGTTGATACTGCAGCAACACATACAAATCTCAAAATAGTTACACTGAGTGAAAGAAGTCAGGTAAAAAGGAGAATATACTATATGATTCCACTTATAAATTCCTGGAAAACACAAAGTAATTTGTAGGCACAGTGTGCCTCTCTTACAGCGCACCCATCTGCATCTGCTCGTATCACCCAGCTCTTTGTACTGCCTGTGGGAATTCTGCCTTAGAAGAGCGGCTCCATTGTTGATACTCTGGCTTTTGCTGTTCTTCTGAGTAATGAAACGTCTTTCATCTCTGATCTAGATGTCTCATGTCTTCCACCATCCCGGCTTGTTAGAAGTAGAGTAAAATACCAGATCCTTCCCACTTCCTGGCAGTGAGATACCACTATACCCGATAACCACAAAATTAAAAGGAATGACAATGCCAAGTGTTAGTGTGGATGTGATGCAATTCAAATTGTCATACATTGCTAATGGGAGTATAATAATAAACTGGAACTAGCACTTTGTAAAGGTGCTTGGCAAGATCTATTAAAGGTGTCTAAAGCTGTATATGCATGTTACCTAAAACCTATCAATTCCACTCCTGCATAGAATGGCCATCAAAAATAAAGCTGGCTGGCTCAGTTGGTAGAGCACATGACTCTTGGTCTCAGAGTCATGAGTTCAGGCCCCATGTTGGGTATGGAGACTACTGGGGGGAAAAAAAAGCCCTTTTATTCACCAAAAAATAACTAAAATAAATATAAATAAATATGAGTGTTCATATCCATTTTATTCATAATACCCAAAAGCTGAAAATCATCCAAATGTCCATCAATAGTAGACTGGTTTAATAAATTTTATACAACAGTGAAAAGAATGTTGTACCCAAGACAACATCTTAGAGCATACTATGTGAAATACGTATATTTATATAAAGTGTAGAGAAACAAGGCAAAACTGTGTCATTTCTATGGTGTTAGAACTAAGGTAGTGGTTACCTTTGGTGGGAATATCAAGGGAACCTTCTATATCCTGATTGAATGGTGGTTGCATGGGTATGTACACATAAAAACATTTATTGAGCTATTCACTTAAGATTTATATAGTTAACATATATAAATCATACCTCAATTTAAAAAGTGTATAAAGTATTTAGGCTTCTGTCTTTCTAGAAGAATTTTCCCTTTTGTTTAGAAATAGTGGTTCTTGGTGACATAACTAGATCTTTGAAGAAATACCTATTTTTAATGTTGACTAAAAATAACCTAGGGGGCACCTGGGTGGC